TGGTATTGTCTCGTCGTTTCGTGAACTCTCTTGTTTGCTATGTTCATTGCTGTTTCAAGAACGGCTTACTCTGCAGATATGTGCAGGACGGAATGCTTAGCAGGGAGAAGGAAGGTATGTGCATGTTCGCGAATACGAATCAGCTTTTGATTGCTGTCACTGACTAAGTCATTTTTGCCTGTGCATGGACTTCTTTCTTTTATCAAGACATGCACCTTTCGTCTTACGGTTCCTGAAGCTCAAGCTGCATGTAATATTGTTTTGCGTAAAACTTACAACTCTTGAAGCTCAAGCTGCACGCTAGATTGTTTTGCGTAACGAAATGTTGGCTAGGTTTATCGTTCAGCTTGGAGGAATTTTTCCTTCAGCTTGATAGAAATTTTTATATGGCTCTGGAGTGTATTGGGTGTATTGGGTGTATGAAGTATAATAACAAAGTGCATTGAATGTATCAGCCCATTTGTGATGATGCCAGAGTGTATCCTTGACGTTGATTTGTGAAATCCGACGGCTAAGACTGAATCCGCAATTAGTGTTGCGATAGCACTACACCAATGGGCAGCAACTGACATCTAGGTCAGCGGCAAATGGAGTGAGGATCCAGCACGAAAAGAAACAAAAATGATGAGCGTGTCAGTCTCTAAGAAACTCCTATCTAGTGGGAGGTTGACGAGATTGTGGTGCCACGTGGCTGTGGTCACAAAAACAGAGACATAAACGTGGCCGTCTTGTCACCATCTTCGTAATCTAAAATCATACGTGGCGAAACCCTTCCGTGACTTCTCCGTAACTTCCAACGTCACATCATGAGTGGAGCTTTTAACCTTCGCTTGAAAGCTACTGTGTTTCCGCATCTGAAAACCCACGCTTTCGTCACTTTTGCGGGACATGTTGCCCTGAACTTTTCTACGATGTTCCACGATTCTCTGACGATCGCGCCACTCTTGTAGCGCCTTTGCTTCTGGCACTTCGAGCAGCGGCTCTGATCCTTCCGTTCGTTGTGCTTTGTTGAAAGTTCTGCTGCTAGCAGTGGGGTCCATTAGTCCAGGCGTCAGCCCTGATTCATTACCATTTATTTAGTAAATAGCACCAGATCTAGTACTTGCTCAATATGTTGTTATGGTTGGTTAGGTTGAACAGCTCCGAGTCCTATTAATGCATAGCCTATGACGTTCTGAGAACTTCAAGCCTTGAAGTTTGTGCTTGCTCTAAGTTGTAGTCACCAGCTTAGGCTGAGAGCTGGGCCGCCATGGTTTGTTCAACAAGATTACAGAGTAGATGGGTTGGGCTTGAAAGTTGTGGGGGGGTGCTGTGGGAAGGAAATCTTGGGGTGTGCATGCAAAGTGAAGTCTGGGGACAACTTGGTGGGTAACAGTGCCAAATGCCCCCAACATTTTGGATAGGTGTTGGTTACAACTCCTAAAACAAAAAAAAATGTGTTGGGATGGGATCGAGGGGTTGGTTTTGCCCAACACCTGGATGCCCTCTTCCCAAAACCTCAAGAACTCGGGGGGCTTACCTCGAAAGTGGGGAAAAAATCCGAGTGTAGGACGCTCAGCAAAATGTCGTGGTGAGTAAAGTACTGTATAGGCGAAGCTCGTCAGAGTCGCACAAGATTTTAGGGTGCCGGGGATTCAATCGGTCAAGTATTTCGCTGTCCCTCGCCACGGGCAAATGAGGCTTTCGCATGAGCACACGGCAAAATGGGTGGGTATTTGTGGGGGGGGTTTGTGTAGCGATGTTTGTTGCCAGTGTGCGACGCTTGTGAAGCGATCAGGCGACGGCGGTGCACAGTTCTGTGGCGACGAAACCTCGTTGGCAACGACTTGTCCCTTGCTATATGCTGGTCGCAGAACGCAATCATGAGTGACTCAAACGGATCTCACATTGCCCGTATATCGGGGGTTTTGGGAACGGATTCTTATTGGGCGCCAGGTTGAGCTGCGATAAGGTTGGGCATCGACTGTACTGTGCAATGAAAGCCAAACAAACGTGGCAGGGTGAAAATGTGTCGTGCTGGCCATGACAACAACGCACGTGAATGTGGAATTTTCTTTTTGGGCAGAACTACAGTACACTGTAGCCCACTTGTACAGTACCGAGATTGGAAACCGGCAGTAGTGTACACCTCTTCCACGGAAAACTTCATAGAGTCAGGCTAAAGATCACCCTTACATTCCATGCGAAATGCTGGCGATTTTTTCGTTCAGGTGTTCGCCATTCAGGACAACCTCGTGACTCTCGAGTAAGACAATTGAAACCTAACAGAACAAGATGCTAGTGGCTGAAAAATCAATGTGGAAGTATCTGCTACAACCCGTTTTGCCACGGGTTACCAGCACTACCGATACTCTCCGGCGCGGCTCGGTCATTGATGCGAAGTGTTCCGTAAAAGAGGTGTATTCTTTCAACCTTTGGCCGGTCATTGCAGTCACGTTTTGCTGCTACGTGAAGCAGCGCCCGAAGAGTAGTCATCTTCGCGGTCGGGGCGAAGTTTTGAAAGAAGTCCATGCCCTCACGCTGACTTAAGCCTCTAGCCATGTAGCGCGCCTTGAACACAGGCGGCTCTCCAGGGGGGGGCGCTTCACTTTGAAGAGCCACCGGCCATCGACTACGTTCACCCCAGGTGGGGGAACTGCGTCGACGTAGGTGCCGGTGGATCTCCAAGATGCCATCTCCTGCTCCATGGCAGCTATCCACTGAGAGGCCCAGGGTCCCGAGACTGCCTCAGCGTAGGTGCGAGGGGTCGGAATGTCGAAGGCGTCTGGGTCACCCTCAGGGACGAGTAGCATGGAGCAGAGATGGGAAGCAGCCTCGGACAGGAAAGCAAGCTCGTACTGCCGGTCCTCCTAGACGTCACTGCCGAGGGCAGGAGCACCCCCGACGGACACAGGACAGACAGTGTCAGTGACCAGAGCGGTGGCGTAGTCAAGGCGATGGGTAGAGGCAAAGTCTGCGACGGCAGCAACAAGTGTGTCAAGGCGCGAAACAGAAACAGATGGGTCGGTAACGAGAGAGGCAAGGACCTGAGAAACAAGAGTACGAGCGGCACGAAGGTAGTCAGACAGAGAGGGAGGCGCAACCACAAGTGAGGACGGAGGAGGCGACGGCAGGAGGGGAGGACGAGACACGTGGGAACGAAGCAACATAGGGTGAGAACGCGGGACACGAGAGACCGACGAGAGGGACGGCGAGACCAGACGTGCGATGGGGGCGTCGGGTCAGGAGACAGGGGAGGTGACACAAGAGCGGAACGGGGGGGAAGACGAGCCGGAGACGAGTCCGGAGGAGGGAACACAGGGCCGTAGACAGGAAGAGGAGGAGACGGTAGGAGAGGCGCAGACACACGGTCAGGGGAGGGAAGGCCGAGCAGGCGGAGGGCGGACACCTGTGGCGACCGCTGCTGCTGCTGCTGCA